GAGGGGTGGAAGGGTTGGGGGTTCAGTCATGTGTCTGGATGGATTCGCTCTCGCTTGTCTATCGCCCTCGCGCGTGCGACTAGCTTCTGTCTGCGTGGGGGAGGGAGGGGAGGGTTTGCGGGACTGGGGTGTGCTGATGGGGCGGGGATTGATCCCTCCTCCCCTTGAGCCTGTTTGAGTCTGCATGCTGATGGGACTGTATTTGTATGAGTATCACGGACACACAGACGAGTGTTACGGTTAATGACAGTTTCCCCCCTTCAATCCTGTTTTGAAGCTATATGTTAATACGATTAGAATCACGGTAAGGCGAGTATTGTGTTGGCCGCCGTCAATAAATGAATTGTCCTGTGTTTGTTCCAGGGATGTTATGAATTACTCAGTAATGATACTTTGCGTTCTCAATTGTGGGGTGCCCCTCTGCTTGTCCGTGACCCGCACTGGGATCGTCCAGACCGTAAGCAGGCATATTCCATACACCGTTATGCACAGAACAGCGAGGTTCATATAAAATCTCTGTGTGACAGCTGAAGGAGGATTTCAGTGTACAAATTTGTGCCGTACGCTAAATAATACAACGTACGATACACGGGTGAGTGAGTATATAATACACTCTTACTCACTTGGATATCTTATTAACATTGTCGTGTGAAGGTAGACGTTTCAGTAAACATCTCGGCTCTTTGTCGATGCATCCTTGGTCATGCTGGTGAAGGGCAAAACTGCACCAAGTGCGAGGCAGGATCACTTTTCAATCACATTGTCGGCACCTCTCAATGCCATCCCTGCCTCGTTGGATCCGGTGAGAGATAGCGAATAAGAGAACCTAAAGGGAGCTGTCACACCATCTGTTCCATCTGTTCTCTCTCTGTTTTGCCTTTAGACTCCTCAGCCGGTGCCAGTACATGTACGTGCATTGATGGCTTTTTTCATGACACCGCCAGCATATGTCAGCGGAATTGTCTAAAGGGTTCTTTCTTGAACGAGGATGGATGGTGTCAGCCGTGCCGTGCAGGTTGGCAGATTCTGCACCGCTCTCATGAATGCAATGAAAGAAAGGCACTCGAAAGAGACATTAAGCATGACGCGTTGTGTCATTTGCAGGCCAGTATGGCGTCATAGACTCAGAGTCGGGAAAGGCAATTTGCAAAGAGTGTGGGTGTGGAGCATATCTCAACTCGACCGAAGGCAGCTCAGGAAGGAACGCTTGCTACTGCATGGAGGGCTTGATCAAGTAAGTCGACAGGATGGCAGGAAATGCGCAAAGCATGTTATCTGTCTCTATCTCTCTTTGGCAGAAACAGCAACAAGCTCAAATGCGAGAAGTGTGCTGAGGGCATCGATTGCGACTCACCAATAATGAATCGCTCTATGGTGCGCACACAGTAGGGATTCTACCTGCTCGGAGACACCAAGGATACCGAAACAACGCAAGGGGGATAAAGAGATGCAACGCTTGTTGTCACGCTTGCTGTCATTCCATGCGCAGGTATGCTGTTGGACGCACAGAGCTGCCCGTACTTATTTCTTGCCCCTTTAAAAAGGCTTGCCTGAGCACAGATGACGACACCGGACTCACCAAATGCGCGGTAAGTCGCATTCAGAAAGATCGCCGGCTGCCTCACAGCTACCTGCCTCTGCTTCTTTTCGTCCCTGTCTCTCTCTCTCGGTGTGTGTGTGCGTGTATGTGTGTAGGAGGGTCATCACGGCGTTTGTATGTGGTCTTTGTGAGGATGGCTACGCGAGTCAGGGACCACTGCAGCCATGCCTCCAGTGTGCGTCGCTGGGCGTGAATATTCTCGCTGCTGCTGCACTGGTTTCTGTGTCCTTTGCTTTTATATTTGGCTTGACATACCTTGCACAAAGGTACAGTGACGACATTCACAGGGGTGTCACGTATGGTGTCCTCTCGCGGGCAGTTCTGGCGCGAAGCGTAGAGACGATGTCCTCGCTGTGCTCTCCAAGCTGACTCTGAACCATATGCCATCGGTACACGCATCAATCAGCTCTCTGATCGCCGGAAAAAGAAGCTTGTCTCGGCAAATAAGCGTGTTGGCGATGCTGGTCTTGTCCATGTCTCACGATGACGAGCGTTTCTCGGTTTGGGTGACATCCTCATCGCGCCCCTTTATGTGGGACGGAGGCTTGCCCCTCGCATATACCAGCTGGGACTGTATTATACGCCTTGTGCGGGATGATATGAGGGACACAGCTGTGCTGTGGAGGCATGCCGTGTGGATTGTTATCCCTCTATTGTGTCTCGTTGTAATGCCCATCATCGCCGCGCTGTTCACCTGGGGCGCCGGATGCGCCAAGCGCTGCTGTCCCCAGAACGTCACTCAGAGAGCACCGCTGCGACAGGATACCATTCACATTTGGACCGGGTCTGTAGCTGACTGGTGCGCCAAAGTCAAGAAAGCCGTGGACCAGCGAGCGGAGCTGCTGATCGTCATACTGACCTTCACGCATCCCACGGTCACAAGGAACATGCTGATGCTGCTGCGTTGTCGGCCGTACCCGTCCTTGGATGAAACCAATACGGTCACGATGCGGTTGCGGCCGGATGTGAATCCCAATTTGTTGTGCCACGGATCCGAATATGAGCTGTTCCGGCTAATAGGCATTGCTGGCTTGATTTTGTGGAGCTTGTCACCTGTACTTGCCGGTGTGGTGTTGCTGCGCTATTTTCGTGAAAGTCTGCACTCACCTAAGATGCGTCTGGTATATAATGGAGAAAGGACATTGAAACAAAGACTCTACACGTAAGCTTGTGTGCATGCGTGTGTGCGTTTTGCTTCTTCCCACATTATCAGAGGTTCGGTTTTCTGTATCAGGTAAGGGTGAAACGTCAGGAACGCATGCAATGATACTAACACGTCCTGCTCCTGTCTCTCGCCAGGGATATAGACATAAATACGCCTACTGGGTGAGAACGCATGTACTAGAAGACTCATCTCAGACGATCCCCCTCTACTTTCTCCTCTCTCCTTGTGCGTGCAGGACGCCGTCTTTGCTCTGAGGTCACCCGTGTGTCTGCATATGCCACTTTGCTTCTCACGTTTCTGCTGCATTTGTGCAGGCGCGTGTTGGTGCTGTTGGTCGCTCATATGGCTGTGGGCAATCCAGGCTTTCACTTTGTTGGCTGGAGCATCATTGCGTTTATCTGCCTAAATGTCCATCTGCTCGTGAAGCCATTCGACCATCGACACATGGACCTCTTGAACTGTGTAGAGGCTCGTGAGCTCACCACCTGGCTGATTTCCATCATGCTGCTGTCTGTCATCCTCCAGCGCGAAACCAATAACTACATCAATGTCATACTGTTGCTGCTGGCGATGATGCTCAACCTTAACCACTACCTTATTCTTTTGTTGCTGATATGCCACAACGGCCTTTGTGACTTGGCGGAAGGCAAAGACGAGCCCTCGACACGATTGTCGGCCCGTCGCACGAGATTCGGTGAGGTAGACAATCGTCTCAGGCCCGCCGCCACTCACCATGTACTCGATGGCTTTTTTGTCCATGATTGACAGCGGCCTCCTGGCGACGCTGCCTCCAGCCAATTTGCCGGCCAGCGGCGGCGTGTCTGTCCCACCTCCTTGCCTGGCACACCCGACGGGCCCAAAAACAACGCGAAGAATGTGGCAAGGTGTCTGGGCTGGGAGAGCGGCAAACTGTCATGGACCGGAGAAGGCGGCGATGATGTGACGTCATCGCGTGGCCTCTACAGCCCCCGCAGGAGGCGGCGTTATGGCGGCGTCGTCGGTTTTCTGCGGACGCTGTGGCATGGCCGCAGCACCGAGTGGCGTCTGGCGAAGAGGAGCGCACTGATGTTGCGAATGCTGAGTGCAGCCGTGAAGGAGGCCACAGATCGACTGCAAATCAGAGATGTCAGTGTGTTCAAAGCGCTCTCGTCCATATCTCCTATTGTGCTTACGTCAGGTTCCATTGGACTTCCTTGACTTTGTGTTATGCTGGGCATTTTACTTGAGTTCGCCATACATGAAGGAGCAAGTAAGACGGACAGAAGCAGCATCGATGGTTACCCTTGTGGCCGATCCTCCATGCAGTGTCGGCTTCGGTGGGAGTCGACCGTGTCTTCTGACCGACGATCTGAAGTTCGGGTCGAAATGGAAGAGGTGGATAAATGCTTCTGATCATTTCCTCCACGAAATGGCGCTGGTTGCCTGTACGCGGACAGGCGGCAGTCAGGGCCATCCGACCAACAACGGCCTTGAAAGCGATTTTACAGGACAGGAGACGCAGATAGATGAGAGAGCTTTCATAGACGCTGGGAGGTGAGAACAGAAAGGCGTCCACAGAGTTGATAGTAAGATCTTCGTCAATATAAAGCACACGGGAGGGTGCAGATTTGCAGATGAGTGCCAAAGGCGGGGGAAAGAAGGCATGACACTCCACGATCTGCAGGTGAGCAGGCGCACGATTGTAATACCATGTCATTCTCTTGTGTGTGTTGTCAGTCGAAGCTCCTTCTTGTCGTGGACGAGCTGATCACTCACCAGCATGACTATGATGAATCCATTTGCCGCAGAGCCAGGACAAGACAGCACGTCAGGAGCTTGTCAGGGGCTGTGTTGATCACTCAGTATTCGAGCAGCAGTGAGTTCCAGGCCGATGCACACGTGGGAGGCTGGCGTCAGCTATACAAGACTTATGAGAAGGCCAAGCAAAGGATGAGACACGCCACATCACAGGCGGTATACGACGCACACACAGGGGAGCTAAAACTGTGCATTGCGCTTCTTCTTTAGCAGGGCAATGGCCCCGATGACGATGACAGTGAGCCGCCAACAGACGTACAGGGGATAAAACGCCGACAATGGCTTCACTGACGGACACATATTTATGCTTTCTTTTCCCTTCTTTGTCAGGTACATGGCCATGGACAAGGCGAAGACGGACAGCTCAGAGAGCCTGTTGATGGAGAGCGGGTGCTGGCGGTTGACGTCTCGTGTGCGAATGGGAGTGAGCCGGCTGAACGTAGGGTGGAGGCTTCAATGGACGAACGCATGTGAGTACTGTATGAGTCTTGCTCCACTGATTGGCCACGTAGGCTTGTACACGTATCATTTGGGTATATTTTTCATCTCCCGCGAGCTCCTCTTTTTCTTCGTGGGCGCCCTCTTTTTCTTGTGTGTTCGTGCAATGTGAGAGCCAGATGAACCTAGGGTAGATTTCCACGGACGAAGATATGCAAGAGTAGGCCATAAGTGTTTTAACACTGATGAGAGATATTGGAGGCACGTAGGAGGTACATAATAGTGTGCACCTATCGTCTTTGGTAAATTTTTCTCCCTCGTGAGACCCTATTTTTCCTCGTGGTGCCCATTGTTTAGTTTTCATATGTTGTGTGCGTGTAGCACTCACTGTGTAGCACTTCACGGGAGGGGCTATTTGTTTCGTTGTTCATGACATGCCATCTGTGAGTCGGAGACAGTCATATACAACCGACTCGGTCCATACGTGACAGTGAGAGAGAATGCAAGACGCCATAGTGCGACACAATCCCCCCCACTTTACACACAGCCTATCTGTCTCTTACAGACACCTAATCCCTTCGCACTGATCGTCGTCGGGAATCAGCTTTCACTGTTCTTGTTTATCGGTGGACCCATGGAGTTCGACGCCTAAGTCAGATGCACGTTTTTATGCCTCTCTGTGTGTCTCTGTGTGTGTGTGTGTGCGTGTGTGTGTGCGTGTGTGTGTGCGCGGTGGATTCACCATTCAGGTGGACACAGCAACAGTGATGGAAGGGCTCTTATGGGTATACGTCTGCCAGTGTTTATATACAACACCCTGACTCCCTGACGGACGGTCGTGTCAATGTGGTTGAATGGCCCATGTTCGAACAAAACACACTCACTTCACTCACTTCAACATGAGCAGTCTTCCGTGTCGTGTGCCTTGATGGCTCGTTTCAGTGCTCTCATTCCCACCCATGACTCCCTGTTTTGTCCTTCCCAACGATGGCAAAAACAAAAAAACAAAACAAAACACACACACACGCGCGCGCACACACACACACACACACACAAAACACACACACACAAAACACAAACAAACAAACAAACGGCAGAGCTGCGTACATGGATTGGATGCAAAAGAGAAAAAAGAAGACAGCAGCACGCTGTGTGTGGCTAGTCGTCGGCTGGGGCGTGAGTGAAGACCTTCACGTGCCCACTTCGCACGTGTCGGAGCGCACTCATGCACGCCAGCATGGACGAGAGCAATGTCTGAGTCAGCCGATCATGCATCCTCCTTCTCACGGATGGCTGGTGGCTGATGGGGCCAGTGATTGTTGCTCCATCAGCCGCCAGCCAACCATGCTCTGCACTCACCGCTTCCCCAATGACAGAAGGCTCGATCGATTCGCACCCATCGGCGACGCCGTCGCCTCAATACAAATACACAGACCCACACACGCGTACGCATACTCAGATTGGGGTGGACACGCACTTGATGTGCTGGAAGCAAGTACAGAGAGCAATACAAGTATCTCCTTGGAGTATGTTCGTCCATCCGCAGCCCTGCGCTTTATGTTCGTAGTCGCTGAACCCGGTGTATTTGTGGCCGTCGGGAGGTGGGGTTTCCTGCGCTGCGTGATTTCTGCAATAGTACTGTCAATGAAGGAACACGTAATAAACAGTCGCATTTGAATCACATTGCTCGTGTCAGCTTTCTCACATTTGCAGCTTCAGGACCGCAGCCTCCAAAAATGCCTCGGAGGCAAAAATCCACAGGAAGCCCTGCCACCTTTGGGTTCTGAAATTCTATAATATCTGGGAGAGAGAAGCAGACGGAGTCGATACAATTCTCTCTCCAGGCGGCGACACGCTTTTAGACCCTTACCCTCGCTCGCAGCACACTCCGGGTCTCCGTCGCAGTTCCGATCCACTCGCACAGCACCCACTTCAGCTGCAGGTGCGACGTCCGGCCAAAACCATACATTCAGCAATGACGTCACCGCGTGTATGCACATACAGTGCACTCGTCTGCTTACTGGTATTGGAACCATTCTGCGCCGGATGTATCCCAGGGGAGATGAACGGGACGGCTGCATGCACGGAGAATAATGAGACCGAGCGAACTCGTGGACTGTCACAATCTTATGCACTCGCTCACCCCCGGGCGCTAGCGGCAGGCAGGTCAGGTCAGCCGGGTCACATTCGCCGGTTTGCCGGTTTGGTGCATAAAATGTACATGACAGCAGCACCACGATAGCAATTTGCTCTCTCGGAATAATCGTAAGAGCTGCTCACCGCCAGTCATGTCGCCGGTCGGAGCGGTAGTGGTGGTCGTGGTGGTTCCATAACCTTAAATGACGGAAGCAGGCCAAGACAAGAAGAATGCAAGGTGCGATGCAGACGACATGCGCACTGACTAGGTGGAAATGGGAGTTTCCTACCTGGACCGAGTTTGCGGATGTGGCAGTGGGCGACGCCAGCGAGGGCGAAGAGGGCCAGGAGCCCAATCAGACGCACCATCATCGGCGTGAGAGAGCCCGGGAAGCTGGCGGCTCAGAGAAGGAAGGAAAGCAACAGACGAACAGTCAGGGTCAGAGAGAGAGGCAGAAGAGAGAGCTGCCGACTGGATGAGGTGCGCCGGACAAGCAACTGGATGGTTGCGGGCGGGGGAGGCGCTACTGGTCTCTCCCGGCCGTTGCGCCCCGCTCCCTCACATTTCGAATCCGAATAATCATTTCGAGTCCGCATGCGGATCGCCTTCCCGCCGCCGATCTACTCAAGACATAAAAAAGGAAGAGAGCCCTTTGCAAACGGCGCTCGGAGGCAAGCCTGGTGCTGCTGCTGCCGACCTGCTGGAGCATATGCTTCAAGCATTCGGCGAACTACTCTTTTCTCGTCCACCGAGGACAGAAAGCTCAAGTGTTTTCGCTTCCGAATCGGTGCCTATAGGGCTTCCTGCTGTCCGGCGTCGCGCGCGTGAAAACCATTGTGTCCGAATCAGCCGGACTCAGTCCGTGTGGTAATTCCTGCTGTCCCTGCATGTTTCAATGACTCGTGTTCGTCGGGTTTGGTGTCGTGTGAAGGATTGAGTCGTTTTAAACTTCGCCCGATGGCGACGCCTTCTCAAAAGAGGGGCAAAATACTTGGGCTCACAGTGGGCTCGTTATTTGTCAAATCCGGTGCCGTGTGCCTTGATGGCTCGTTTCAATGCTCTCATTCCCATGTATCGCCCATGTCTCCCTGTTCTGTCCTTCCCAACGATGGCTTCACACACCTTCATGCACCTCATGACGCCAAGCGTGTGTGCGTGGGCGAGGCAGCCAGTCGACCGGCCGTCGCTCCAATTCGAGCACACCTGACCGGCAGACAGCCCCCACGCAGCCACGCGGCACATGCACGACCTCACGGCACATGACAACACACGGAGCACATGCAACACAGTATGTCACCCGCCGCATACAATGAGAGCAACAGATCCGTGGCTGACGCGGCTGACTGGATGGAAAAAGGCATAGTTGTGTACATGGATTGGATGCAAAAAACAAACAGCAGCACGCTGTGTGTGGCTAGTCGTCGGCTGGGGAGTGAGTGAAGACCTTCACGTGCCCACTTCGCACGTGTCGGAGCGCATTCATGCACGCCAGCATGGACGAAAAAAATGACTGAGTCAGCCGATCATCCATCCTCCTCACGGATGGCTGGTGGCTGATGGGGCCAGTGATTGTTGCTCCATCAGCCGCCAGCCAACCATGCTCTGCACTCACCAGTCCCCCAATTACAGAAGGCTCGATCGATTCGCACCCATCGGCGACGCCATCGCCTCAATACAAATACACAGACTCATACACATACGCACATAGCGAAAGTGAGTGCACTGATATGCATACTCAGACTGTGGCGGTCACGCAATCGATGTGACTGAAGCAATCACATTGCAGGATAAAGGGAATGGGGGTACAAATACCTCCTTCGAGTATGGTCGTCTCTCCGCAGTTCGATTTCCGGATGAAGCCGCTGGGTCGGTGATCTGCCCCAGTGTATTGTTGGCCTGAAGGAGCTTCTACTCTCTGTTCTGCATACTCCAGGCAAAAGTGCTGTTAAAACAAACACGTAATATAAACAGTCGCATTTGAATCGCATTGCTCGTGTCAGCTTTCTCACATCTGCAGCGTCTCCACCGCAGCCGCTACCAAAGCGGAGGCACCAATCCACAGGACGCCCTCGCACCGCTGGGTTCTGAAATTCTATAATATCTGGGAGAGAGAAGCAGACGGAGTCGATACAGTTCTCTCTCCAGGCGGCAACACGATTCGAGACCCTTACCCTCGCCCGCAGCACACTCCGGGTCTCCGTCGCACTTCCGAACCACTCGCACAGCACCCACTTCAGCTGCAGGTGCGACGTCCGGCCAAAACCGTACGTTCAGCAATGACGTCACCGCGTGTATGCACATACAGTGCACTCGTCTGCTTTCTGGTATTGGAACCATTCTGCGCCGGATGTATCCAAGGGGAGATGAACCGGACGGCTGCATGCACGGAGAATAATGAGACCGAGCGAACTCGTGGACTGTCACAATCTTATGCACTCGCTCACCCCCGGGCGCTAGCGGCAGGCAGGCCAGGTCAGCCGGGTCACATTCGACGGTTTGCCGATCTGCTGCATCAATGTGCATCAGAGCAGCACCACCGTGACGATAAGAATTTGCTCTCTCGGAATAATCGTAAGAGCTGCTCACCGCCAGCCATGTCGCCGGTCGGAGCGGTAGTGGTGGTCGTGGTGGTCTCATGACCTAAAATGACGAAAGCAGGCGACGAAAGCAGGCCAAGACAAGAAGAATACAAATGCAGACGACATGCGCACTGACTAGATGGAAATGGAAGTTTCCTACCTGGGCCGAGTTTTCGGATGTGGCAGTTGGCGACGCCAGCGAGGGCGAGGAGGGCCAGGAGCCCATCACGGCCGCCAGAAAGATAACAGCGGTGAATACAATTTTCCAGATCAGTTTAATCCCGTTCCACCACTGTTTACAGCCATTCCAGTCACACGTGTATGCGACTAGCGTCAGGAGTCTGGATGTGTATGCACCAGTGTGAAGGGCCGACCTGTGCAATACGTGTGGTGTCATGCCTTAGGCTACCATCTCGCTGGGGGCTGCCTGCTGCGGGCACTCCGCTACTCTGTGGCGTCACCATCTGTCCAGCACCCTCCACACGAGTGTCACCCCGAGAACAGTAGGCATACGACACGCATATCGGCATGATCAACCCCCGTCTGCGTGTATGTATATATATGTGTGGTCATCTTGTGAAGGGCCGACCTGTGCAATACGTGTGGTGCCATGCCTTTGGCTACCATCTCGCTGGGGGCTGCCTGCTGCGGGCACTCCGCTACTCTGTGGCGTCACCATCTGTCCATCTGTCCAGCACCCTCCACACAGCCGTCATCCTGAGAACAGCAGGCACACGACACGCATATCGGCTTGATCAAGCCCTGTCTGCGTGTGTGTATGTATGTGTGGTCATCCTTTGAAGGGCCGACCTGTGCAATACATATGGTGTCATGCCTTTGGTCACCATCTCGCTGCGGACTGCCTGTTGCGGGCACTCCGCTATTCTGTGGCATCACCATCTGCCTAGCGCCCTCCATACGAGTGTCACCCTGAGAACAGTGGACATCCGACACGCACGTCGGCTTGGTCAACTCCTGACTGCGTGTGTATGTCTGTGTGGTCATCTTTTGAAGGGCGGACCTGTGCAATTGGTGTAGTGTCATGCCTTTGGCATCTCGCTGGGGACTGCCTGCTGCACGACGACGGCTCCATTGGCTGGAGTACATGGCGATGAGAAGCACGAAGACGGCGGGGACGAGGAGAACCAAAACCGTGACGAACGTTCCGACACAAAGTAGAGATCTCAGCAGATGGGACGGAGATCGGGGAGCGGTTGACGAGTAGCGCAAGCGGCCTCACGGCCTCGCAGAAGTCCCAAATCCACAAGCACGAAGGAGAATGGACGGAGATCTGGGACGGGACCATCCCGATTGCATGTCCCAAAGTCAGCACAGCGCAGCGTGGAGGGTTTTCGTTCGTGTGCATGTTTGCTTGAGCAGCAGCGGTGGAATGTGCCGTGCTGGATTGCACTCTCCACCAGCGTCAAGTACTACCCGCATGGCACAGGGGGGGAGCGGTTGACGCGTAGCGCACGTGGCCTCACAGGAGTCCGACGTCCCCACACACACGCACAAACACAAAAGTTCTCATGCGGGAAAAATCAGTGATCGACCGATTCCTTATGGACAGGCAGACACATGAAAAAGCAGTGACAGTCCAGCCCAAAAGCACGCTACTGGGAAAAGACACGAAGGGCAGCAGCCCCTTGCACTGACGAATGAAAAGGACAAAACTCCGGTCTGACACACATTCCGGTGGACACAGACAGACACTGTCGACAAAAGCAACTGGCGGCCCAGTCGGCGAAATGAACACGCCATCCCTCCGTGAACACCCCACCACGCACGCACGCACGCACACACCCCTGCACCCCTCCGACAGCGCCCACTCCACACACACACACACACTCGTGCCCACACTCACACACACGCAACCAGCCCTTCACGCTTCCATGCCTCGAGAAAGAAAGCCCCTCGTCGCCAGATACACCGACACGCCAAGCCGCGGACGTCGTCGGTCTGTGGGCGGCACCCCAACGCGCGCGCTCGTCACCCCACACCCACACCCACAGCAAAAAAGGACCGCTGCTCCCGTGGGGGTCTTAACGCTCCACCAGAAAAGGAACACGACGCGCGAGACTGCCAAGGGGTGGCGGATCGGTCGAATGGAAGTTGCCCGCCGTGCCTGGCGGGGAACAGCCGGCTCGTCTCGGGCCGGAAACTCATGAGAAGGGGAGGTCATGTGTCGTCGCGCTTAGTGGTAGTGGAAAGGGCCCCTGCCCCAGACTTGTCTGCAGGGGAGGGGCGGGTGACGTCGGTCTTCTTGTCGGGGTTTGTCCTGGCGAAGACCATGCGGGCGTTGTGGCGTGCGAGGGAGACCGAGAGCATGGCCCACCAGCGGTTGACGATGTGGCCGACTGTCATCTGGGGGTCGTCCTTGTAGTGGGCGGCCCGCACGCCTCTTGCCAGCTTATGCAGGAACTCCTCAGTGGCCGGAGACCAGCGCCCCAAGGACTCGCACGCGAGGGGGGTGAAGTGCAAAGGGGTCTGGTCGGCGATGGCGCCGTATTTGCGGTACTTGTCGTCCTCGGCCATCCGCAACGCCCTGCCGGCCGTCCGATTGAGGCAGTTGTCTGCCCGCCCGGGGTCGTCACGGTGGAGGGGGTGGGTGACGGTAACGTCGAGGAAGTGCTGAGCGCTTCCCGTACGACGAGGTCCATCCGCTTCTTCGTGGTTGAGTGCAGGAGGGACTCTGACACGTCGTAGTTCCGCACGAGTTGCTCCTTCTTGACGTTAGCCTTCGCCTCACGCCCGATGCGATAGAAGGTGCCGATGAGGGCGTCATGCCGCTGGGTGCGCTGAGAGCTGGACTTGCATTTCAAAAAATGGTCGCCGGATGGGTCGCATTGGCTGGGACAGAGGGGGCAGCGGGAGGGCCAGGGGCGGGACTGGTCGGGGTTGCGGCGACAGAGGGCGAGGTGAACGTTAAAAGTGAACTCGGAGGGTGTGAGGGTGACCTCCTTGGAGTACGGCGCGGGCCGCAGCCACGCCATCGCACCGCGGCCCTTCAAGCTCTGCAGCCGAGCGCTGTCGCCTGTCTCCGGATGACGGCCGCAGATCTGCTCGAGTCGTCGCGCCCACCACGATGTGACTCGCTCGTTGAGCTTGTGCTGCAGGCCGGCGACGGGCTGGGTGAAGAGGGTGTGGATGGCGGGGAGGTCGTCGATGCGGTTTGGCTCAGGGGGGTAATCGATCATGAGATGGCCCCGCGCTCGCTCCATCTCCTGCACCCACGCGAGGCGCGAGGCCCGCCCGGCCACCCGTGGGCATCCACAGCGCCCCCCTGTGTTGCGCGTAGACATCCGCCAGCACAACCGCGCCCGTGCCGAAGTATGCCGCGTGGCAGAGGGCGACGTTGGGTGTGAACCCAAAACCGGCCTCAGTTATCGGCGCCTTCAGCTGGTAGAGCTCAGGTACCGAGGCGTTGCCGAGTTGGTAGAGGACGCACGCTGCCTGGATGATGGCAACGTCGTGCTCACGCGCTGCGGGGATGACCTTGGATGGGGCGGTGGTGCGAATGTGGTACTGGAACCGGAGGTGGGCACACTGGCGGAGGATGAGGTTGGCAGTTTGCGGGTCGTCAAGCGACAGGAGGGCGTCCAACACCCGCTATGTCTTGCGCTGGATGGCGGCGAAATGCTTGGCGATGAAGGCATCCGTGCCGAGAGGAACGCCGAGCACCAGGATGCCCTCCTCGCCCAACGCCACCTCTGCTGGCACCGAGGCGGGTCGTTGCATGCCAGGCCGAAAATGCTCCCCCCACATCACACACTTGTGGTCGACCAATATCTGGTCCACCGACCCCATCTCGGTCTTGGCGGCGCGGAAGGCCTCTTCCACTCGCCCCTCCGTCCTCCCGATGTACACGTTGTCGGCGAAGGCACAGACGAGACAGTCTGGAAGGGCGGCTTGCAGCCGTCGGAGCACGGCATGCAGACCGCACACATACCACACGGGCCCGCCCGAGTCGCCCTGCTGCGTGCCCTGGGTGCTCGCGATGGTGCGGACCGTCCCATCGTAGTGGGCAAACCATAGGTCGGATGACGCCCCATACCACTGGAGGAAGAAGTCGGTCAGCTCGGGGAAGAGGTCGTTCACGCCCTCGAGGATCGCCTGGCGACTGATGGTGCTGAAGGCGTTTTTGGCATCCAGGGAGAGCACGACGCGCTTCTCATCGGCAGCGCCCGATCCCAGGAACGTCCGGATGGCAGCAATGCACTTCTCCGCGCCCGAGGAGACACCCACGGCGTACTGGTGAGGGCTGAGCGCCTCCCCGAACCGCTCCCGGTGCAGGAAGCAGATCGCCCGGGTCACCCAGCGGCGCAAGACCTCCCCGATGGCGATGGGTCGCACCCCTCCCGTCAGGCTGCCGTCATCGTCGGTCTTCTCGAGGCCGATGAGCCGGGCGGAGCCCAGGATAGGCCTCACGTGATCGGGAATATTGCTCTGCACGATGTCGTCCACCAGTTTTGTCAGCGGCACGTGACTGGTGGCGTCGTGGATGGCCCGCAGGTGCTCGTAGCGCCATCCGGTCGGGCCCTGGGCCGATCCCCTAGCCGCCGTCTTGAGGGCCTTCAGTAGATTGGCGGGGTGCAGCTCGAGGGTGCGACGGGGGTTGCCTGCGGGGGGCGCGTCGCGTCGTGTCGAGTTGTGGACCTGGCGGGTGGAGTCCCTGGAGAATGGCGAGGGTGTTGTCGTTGTCGGGCGCCAGTGGGGCGGAGGTCAACGCCGTGACAGCCCGGCGGAGCTCACTTCCCGCGGCGAGACGGCGGGCGCGTTTGGCCGGGGATGTGGTTGCGGTAGCGGTCGCGGGACGGTCCACGGGGTGGGCCCGCCGCTGCCACTCCAGGGCGTCATCCCTCAGCGTCTCCCAGTCGCCCTCGTCGAAGAGCTCGAACCGCCGCTTCCAGATGCATCTGACAGGATTGGCCAGGATGGCCGTTGTGTGTACAGTGTACCAGCTGCATGCATTGTGGTCTGTGACGTGTGGGACTCATGACCATTGTATATGTGGCTCAGGTACGCTTCACTGCGTGCATTGTGGTCTGTGACGTGTGGGACTCATGACCATTGTGTATGTGGCTCAGTGCGGATATTCGCCTCGCTCACATCGGATCTGACATGGGCGCAGCAACAGGTGGCGAGTCGTGAGTGAGGAGTGGCGTGATGAGCGTCGACGTCAAGGCGATGGCCGAGGCCTTTGCCAAGGCAATTGGCCAAGAGATGGCCAAGGCGCAGGGCGCCAGTGTGACAGACATCACTCAAGCAGTGGTGGCAGCACTCGGCAATGGAGGGCAGACGGGCGGCTTCCCGTCCAAGCCAATGACTGAGATGGCCAAGCTCGACACGCCCAAATTCTCGGGCGAACCGGCGGAGTGGTACGACTTCTACATGAAGCTGCACGGCCTGATGACGGCCAGGTCATTGGAGGCGCTGCTGCCTATGACTGAGGCAGAGAGGGATGCAGCACCTGGGCTGTGGGAGACCGAGACGGATGATACACTGCCCTTCTCGAGCTCGGCTAGCTCGACCGACCAACAACCCAACTGCCGCCCCACCAAGGAGCACAACGCCCTCAGAAACCTCAGAAACCTCTGGAGCCTGCTGGTCGTCTGCTGCCAGGGCAGAGCACAGGAGATCGTCCACGCGGCGATGGCAGAATGGAAGGGCGACAAGGACAAGGAGGGCAACGGGGCAGAGCTCTTCTTCCGGCTGGCATCGGCATATGCTGCAGACCGGGACGCCATGAAGAGCAAGGCGGTCGAGGACGTCATGAACTACGAGATGACATCCATCGACGTGCCCCTCGAGCTGGCGCGCTTCAACAAGCTGTGCGGGCAGGCCAACTCGCTGGGGCAGGAGGTGAACGACCTCATGAAGATCGGCATCATGAAGAAGGCCATCACCAAGACAGCCCTCGAGGACTTCATCAAGTACCTCCACGGCACACCAGCACTCCGCGAGTGGCAGCTGTTCCAACAGCGCCTGCAAGAGTACGCCGGCGATCACAACAGGGAGAGCGGCAACATCTCCATGTCGGCGAACGTCAAATCGTGGAGCAACAACAACATGAGCGGCAGGGGCATCAGTCGCGGCAGGGGTGGCAACGGTAGAGGGGGCTTCGCCGGTGGTAACGGCCAGGCAGACAACAGCAAACCCCTCACCCTCCTGCTCTGCGACTACTGCCAGAAGACACACAAGAGGGGCTGGAAGCACTGCTGGGTCCTCAAGTCGGATGAGGAGCGCAACAGGGTGGAGTGGTCAGGGGGATGGGTGCCCCCAGCATATCGCAGTCGAGGTGGCCGCGGCTATCAGCCGTCGAGAGGGGGCAGAGGTGCCTTCCGCGGCAGAGGGGGCGGAGGTCGGTCATACCACACCAATGCGGCATTCGAGGACGAGAACTCGCCGGTTTTCGAGGAGTCGTACGTCACGGACGAGACCCACGGCATCAGCATGGCGTCACAAACAAGGGTAAAGGAGGTCAGCGACGACACGGGCGGCAGTGAGGGGGACGCCATTATCGAGACACGAGTGGCGGCCACCCTCTCCGACAAGAAGGACAACCGCATCATTGCGGACTCGGGCGCATGGAAGCACTGCATGTTCGACAAGGGCAACTTCCTCACCCTCACACCCACCAAACGGTACCGATTCGCTCGGTGACGGGGGACACGACAATGGCAGAGGGGGTGGGTGATGTCCAGCTGTTCGTGCGGACAGCAGAGGGTCGTGTGGTGGAGATGGGAGCTCACGATGTGCTGTACGTGCCCGACTTGTCCGTCAACCTGCTGTCTGCTGGAGCCCTCGATCGCGTGTACAACTACACGACACATCTCCAAGGAGCCCGCTCGTGCATCAAGTTCGGCCAGCTGACCATCCCCCTCCACAGAGAGAGCGACCTCTACTACCTGTCCACCATGCCCTCCCCCAACTCCCCCCCACCCCCACCCAAGACACCCCCGCCCAAGACACCCCCACCCAGGACCACCCCATCACTAGCAGCAACAGCAACAGCCGAGGACACGGCGGCAACCAAACGGACACACAGGCTGATGTGCCACATCGGCCACAAACGGCTGGCCCAATCCTAGGAGTTCATCGACGGCATGCCCGACATCAAGCCACCACAGGACGGGTGCGTGTGTGAGGGCTGCGTGGCGGGCAAGATGCGCCTCAAGAACGTGTGCAAGGAGCCGGGGACACGAGCGAAAGAGGCGTTCGACCTCGTCCACCTCGACCACAAGCCGATGAAGGTGGCGTCAGTCAAGGGCGACACGGGGTTCTTCGTGATGGTCGACGACAAGACCCGCCACGTCGTCGCCTTCGCCGTCACGTCGCGCAACAAGATCGCTGAGTGTGTGGGCCGATACGAGCTAGGCCATGGGCAAGGTCAAGACGCTGTGGAGCGACGGTGCCAAGGAGTTCCGGTACGGCAAGCTGGAGCAGTACTGCATCGAGCACCGCATCCGCCAGCGGTTCAACGCCCCATACCACAGGGACGAAGGCGGCGTCGTCGAGCACAAGGTCGGCATGCTCATGGCGCTGATGACGTCGATCATGGCAGAGTCAGGGATGCCTGACGAGTGCTGGCCGTACGCCCTCGACTACGCCGTCAAGGTGTACAACATGACCGTGACCAAGGCGACGCGGCTCCCCGACGGCAGACCCACCTCCCCCCACTACGCCCTCTACGGCAAGAAGGCGAGCATCAAGGGGCTCTTCATCTTCGGCTCGGCGGCATTCGTGCATCAGAGGGAGGAGATAAGGAGGGGGCTGCAGGCCAAGGGCAAGATCATGGTGATGCTGGGCATGGCGCCGCGCATGAAGGGCACCTACCGCGTCCTCGACCTGAACACGAAGAAAATGTACGAGACACCTGAGGTGATCGTAGACGAGAGGCGCTTCCCCTTCAAGGAGCGACGCGAGCGCATGATGAACCCCACACCCGCCCCATGGGCACACAATGGTCAGGGAACAGGGGCGGGAGGGGCGCATGGGCATGGGTGTCGATGTGACGGGGCACATGGGGGTGTGGGTGAGAAGCGTGTGCAGATCAACGTCCCCATCCCGTCGTCGGCCGGTCGGACACCACCATCGACAACATCAGCCTCCCCCACACCACCGCAGCACATCCCCCACAAGACATCGCCAGCCAACCCCCCACCCCCACCACCCCAACAGCAACAGCAGGAAGTGCAGCAGCAACCCCACCCACCCTCACCCCCCCTTCCCCACCACCCGTGGTCGTGCAGCCACCACAACAGCAACCCCCACAGCAGCAGGAGGGACGGCAAGCCAGAGAGGGTGCACGTGAGGGACTGCGGCAGAAGGTGCAGCCTCCCAAGCGTGACCAGCAGGAGGGCTACGACTTCTCTGGGTGCGGCCAGCGGCAAGTCAACATCATCAGGACAGAGGAGGAGAGCAAGATGCCCACCATGCAGGACTATATCAGTATGAGGGCCCCGCAGCTGCACGGCAGCACCATCCTCCGCAGGCAGCATGCTCAGCGCGAGTGGCAGGAGCGGATCAACGACCGCATCCGAGAGAGACTGAGGAAGTCGCCGCCAAAGAGATATGAGGATGATGGAGGGGTGCACGTACAGATAGAGGGGGAGACGGAGGAGTCGGTGCATGAATGTGCATGTGTGTGCATGTGTGTGCATGTGATGTGTGGTGTGTTGTGTCGTAATGTGTGAATGAGTGTGCAACCACTCACTGATTCGTCTGATTGCAATGCCTGCTGTGATTGATGAGGAGTTGAGACGTGACTTGGCGTACGCACGACTTTTGGGCGAGCCCAAGACATATGCACAGGCAATGAAAAGTCCATTGAGACACAGATGGGAGGAAGCAATGGATCGTGAGATGAATAGTGTACGTGCAAAGGATGTGTACAAGGCAGTGTCTCGTAGCTCAGCCAGAGGTCAGATCCTGTCTACCAAATGGGTGTTTGCTGTACGGGCACACAAGTTCAAGGCTAGGATAGTGGTGCGTGGTTTTGAGCAGCCATGGGAAGAGAGAGGCCCTACATTCTCACCCACCTTGAACCTTGATGCGTTTCGTGTCGTAGCCAGCACAGCTACTGCGATGGACCTTGACTTAAAGCACATGGACGTAGAGACGGCTTTTCTTTACTCTCCCTTGCATGAGCCTGTGTGGTGTGAGTTTCCTGACGGCTATAAAGTAGATGGGTGTGTAGTGGAGCTGCAACAGGCATTGTATGGTCTGCCCGGTGCGCCTCGTGCATGGCATGTGCATATCGATTCGTATTTGTCTAAATTGGGCTTTCTATCTAATCGTAATGAGACGTGTCTGTACTACTAGCCGTCTCTCGGTATTCTGCTCGCACGCTATGTAGATGATATGGTAGTTGCATCGACGAGTGAGGGATACGCGTGGCTGCAAGACAGGCTGAATGAACGGTTTGTAGTTGAGGATCTGGGTGATGTAAGTACGTTTTTGGGTGTGTCAGTCAGTCGAGATAGACAGAATGGCCAGCTCACACTTCATCTAGCTAATACATGGATGCTGTGTTAGCCAAGTTCAATATGACTGACTGTACGCCGGCCGATTGCCCTCTACCTATCGGCCCCAGCTTCACTATACGTAGTGGTCAGTTTTCAGAGACGGAGCTAGCGAAAATAGCTGACTTCCCATATAGATCAGTAGTCGGCCACCTGCAGTACGCTGCGTCTACATGCAGACCTGATCTGTCCTATGTGTGTTCCGTGACAGCGATGGGTCTGAGTCAAATACGGACGAGAACGAAAATACGCCATCAGAAGCGCAAGAGAGGCCAGAAGAAGCCAGTGACACGCCACCAGAAGCAGAGGGGGATGGTGCATGTGTGCGTGTGTGTTCTGATGTAGAAAATGTTGGAGTTAGTGAGGAGGAGAGTTTGTCGGCCTTGTCGGCCTCTTCATCTGACGCTTCGCTGCGACAATGCTGGCATGCGGATGACTCATCGGCACTCGGCAAGCTTCACGGCATCCTGGTGTGGTTTCGAGCCCTGCGCCGCATCGGTCCCTCATACGGCTATCACCTGGAGGCCGCCAAGTGCTTCCTCGTTGTCAAACTTGAGCTCGAGCAGATCGCAAGGGAGCTCTTCGAGCCCGAGGGGGTGCAAATCGTCACGGGCAAGAGGTTCCTGGGCGGCTATGTGGGCGATGAGGGGGAAAGGGCGGCGTTCCTCTGCGAGAAGGTCGAGGGGTGGGTGCACGGCGTGCGCGCGCTCGTCTCTGCTACCCGCAACTTCCCGCACACGGCCCATGCGGCAATGACGAGGTCTCTGCGGATGGAATGGGACTACGTCTTTCGCGTCGTCCTCACCGACGAGTGCGCTCTCAGCCCCCTCCGCGAGGCCATCGCCAAGAAGCTGCTGCCGGCCCTCCTCGGCGGCCCTGTGACGCCGTCCGAGGTCGACCTGATGCTGCTGCCGGCCCGACATGGCGGCACCGGTATATGTGACCCTCTCGACCGAGCCGCAGCCGCATACCCCGCTTCCCGCGCGAGCACCAAGGTGGTATCCAAGTCCATCCAAGGCAAGGCTCCTTTCCACCCTGGCGACCATCGTGCTATCATCCGCCACGCCCTCGCCCAGAGCAAGCAGCCGCAGGACTCCGCCTACAAAGCCAAGAGGGAAGCCGCCCTGTCGCACGTCGACCGCCGGCGCCATCGCGTCCTCTCCCACAGCGCCGAATACAAGACGTCCGGCTGGCTGACCACCCTCCCGCTAACAGACAGCAACACTGATCTTGATGCTGCGGAGTTTTGAGATGCCCTCAACATACGATACGGCCGTCACCCGCTCGGCCTCACCGCACGCTGCGACCACTGCAACCAGCCCCTCACCGTCGACCATGCGCTGTGCTGCAAGCGGTACGGCCTGATGATTCGTCTCCACAACGAGCTGCGGGACACTTTTGCCGAGCTGATCGGGATGGCATGGGGTGACGCTGGTGTGCGTCGGGAGGTGGTGTTGAAGGAGGGAGAGGAGGGGGAGGGTGGGGTCAGGGCGGACATCGTCGCTCGAGGCGTGTGGGAGCGGCAGGCGGCTGCGTCGTTTGACATCTGTATTACGGATCCTGACGCAACGTCTTACGCTTCCAAGAACCGATCGACCAAGTCCATCCTGAGGTAGCACGAGACCGCCAAGAAGAAGAAATACCGCTCGGCCGTCTGCGACTTCCGCGTGACCTTCTGCCCACTGGTGGTGACGTGTGACGGTGTGTGGGGACACGATGCCAACATGTTCATCGCCCACATGGCTCATGCGCTGTTGGAGGAGGAGAGGTGGAAGGGTCGGGAATTCAGTCATGTGTCTGGATGGATTCGCTCTCGCTTGTCTATCGCCCTCGTGCGTGCGACTAGCTACTGTCTGGGTGGGGGAGGGAGGGAGGGGTTTGCGGGGCTGGGATCTGCTGATGGGGCGGGGATCGATCCCTTCTCTCTTTGAGCCTGTTTGACTCTGCGTGTCATGGGACTGTATTTATATGAATGTCACGGACACACACACGAGTGTTGCGGTTAATGCAAGTTGTCACTTTCATTGAGTAGCGTACCCAACGGGCCGTGAAGGCAAGGCCCCCCTCTATATGCATGAGGCTTACCAGGCCGACTCGACAGATGACAGTGGAGCGAATGTAGTAAGGCCACGTCCGGCAGACTGCTGATGCCAAATGGAGATCGTCAACAGCTGAACTCGGCTGACGTCCTTCTACCTTCGGAGATTGATTAGTGACGCCTCAATCGAAGTGGCCGCTAGCCGTCTGCAGAGTGGCACATTTCCAGACTGAATCGTGCTGTAAGGCAGTGTGTCTTACTCCCAAGCAGGCAAGCTCGAAAGCTTTCCCTGTCTTGGCTCTAACCTGCTGTGTCGACCCCAGCGATGTTAGTTGATCAGTGAGCGAGGTCTCGAGGGTGAGGGCAGTGATCAAAGTGCAGCAGACGCACCGCCCGGGCAATGTTATCGTGCACGAGGAAACCGGCTCGGTACGGGCTCTGCGATGTGGGCTTTTCTGCCAGAGAGAAGACGAGAAGCAACTAAGGCACGCAAAGGACTGCGTCGGGCTGTAGCGCGCTTAATGCGACTTTGGAGATCGACTTGGCCGTCAGGCCGCCTAGGGTCTTCCCTGAAACCGCTGCGACTTTGGAGATCACGATCTGAAATGATAGGGCCGTGACTTTGCCTATGCCCCCTCGACACACAAATGGCCTCACGCGGGCCCTCAGCGGACACGAATGAGCTACTGGAGCGGACGTGGCTTTTGGACGCCGTCAATTACTCCGTCAGTTGTAATTCACCGCACGGTCTCGACAACACACGGAGACATGTTGAAGGATGGCGACGGGAAGGGGATAAGTCTTCCTGTGAGTGGCCCGTCAGGGGCTAGGTGTGACAGTGGCGGTGTTTCTAAGGCGTCTTCATCGACGGGTTGCTGGTCTTGCGGTTGAGCGTCTTGCGCTTCTTGGGCGTCTGGCGCTTCGTGAGCGTCCTGCTCATGTGTGTCGCCATTTCCTTCCCCCTCTCGGTAGGAAGTATGGATTGACACCTGTCTGTAGATTGAACGAATGTTCAAAGAATGTGGCTGTGTTTGTGACCTTTATTTGTCTTTTAGACGGTATCCAGAAGACGTATCCGTCCTTCATCTGTGGATGATAGCCAACGAAGATCGCCGGGTTACACTTCGGACTGAACTTCGTGGCTCGCTCATGCTCGCGCACAAACGGGTAGGCTAGACAGCCAAACACACGCAGTCTGCGCAGGTCGGGCTTGAAGTTCTTCCACATCTCATATGGTGTTTGCTAGTTGTGTTGCTTCTGCAGGGGCAGCGATTGCGCACATATGCGGCTGCTCGTACAGCCCACGGCCAGAAGCCCCTCGGCAGATTCGCCGTCACGAGGATCGATGTGGCCGTGTTGTTCAGCGTTTGGATCATCCTCTCAGCCACGCCATTCCGCTCATAGACGTGAGGGACGCTGAATTGTTTGGCGATGCCGAACTGGGCGGCAGCGTGGAGCAGATTGCCTTCGCACAGCTCTTTGGCTCCGTCGGATCTGAGCTCCTGGATGTGTCCGACCTCCGCGATGTATCGTTTCAGGCCTGTGCGCGCGTCGCGTCGACGCTTGAGAGGTGCCACAGACACGACGAGACTAGTCGTCCACGAAGACCATATGGTGTTGATAGCCATCGAGAATCGAACTTGGATGTGGTCCGGAGATGTCGCGATGCACTGATTGACGCTTGCGTGTCGCCCTTGTGCCTGATTCGTTGTGTGTCTGTCATTTTACCCTTCAGGCATCCAACGCATTGCCAGTCGGATGGAGGTAAGATTAAGACAAGCAGCCCTTCACCGAGGTCTTTTCTCAACAGATCCATGTCACGGCGATTGAGGTGTGCTAGTCGCTTGTGTTGTAGCCAGAAGGTTGGATTTCCTTCCTCGGGTGGAACAGGTATCTGCACAGCAGGCTGCACAGGAGATGCAAACGGATCATGGCCCATGTGTTGATTTGTTCGTCCTGCAGGATGGCCATTGTGTGTTCGTGGATCGTCTGGCGTGTGTCGATCCGATTCGTCCGTCGAGCAAGAGGGACCAGCAATGTCGGGCTGATCTGAAGCCTCGACAGCACCAGCAGGTTGCCCTTGACTCAACAGATCCGCGGCAGACTGGTGGGAGTCAGGAAGGCGTCCAAGAGTCGGCACACCGGTACTGAAACTCTTGCCGCACACATGACAGTCATGCAGTGTGTGTGGCTGCCAGAGATCAATCGTTCCCTTCTTTGTGTGCAGGTAACGTTGGTCTGCAGGCGGTTCCACATGGGGAGCATTGCAGTGACAACAAGTCACCTCAGCCCGCCCTGAGCTGTCCTGACCCCGACCTGAGGCATCGGTACGACCAGCATCGAAACCTCCCGAGAATGTGAAGCCGAGAAAGGAGGAACCTGACCGGTCAGCACACCAGTTCGAGAGATAGGAGCGGAACTTGCTGACTGCATTTATGATGCCTGTCATTGACTTCCCATTCTCTTCCTTCTCCTTACACACAGGATAGGTAGCGTCTTGCCTGGCCGCGTGAGCAGCTGCAGGCGCCTCTCGTGTGGTGCATTCGTTGTTGGTCGCCCTTTCCGCGTGAGCAGCAGGTGACACACCAAGCACGTAGAGCCTCCCCTTCCGCACAAATGAATGTGTGTATGGTTCTTTAGTGCACGTGTCGACTTGGAGTACGCACGTGTCGACTTGAAGTGTGTGTATATGATGAATGTCTGTGTGCGCACCCCGGCGCATGCACTTGTGGACTTGGTGTGTGTGTATATAATGAATGTGTGTGTGCGCACCCCTGCGCATGCACGTTTGGACTTGAAGTGTGTGTATATATTGAATGTCTGTGTGCGCTGTGTGCGCACCCCTGCGCGTGCACGTGTCGACTTGGAGTGTGTGTATATGATAAATATCTATGTGCGCACCCCTATGTCTATGTGCGCACCCCTCCGCATGCACGTGTCCAGTTGGTGTGTGTGTATACGATGAACGTCTATGTGCGCACCCCTGCGCAGGCACGTGTAGACTTGGAGTGTGTGTATATAATGAATGTCTGTGTTTGCACCCGTGCGCATGCACGTGTCGACTTGGAGTGTGTGTACATGATGAATGTCTGTGTGCGCACCCCTGCGCATGCACGTGTCGACTTGGAGTATGCATGTGTTGACTTGGAGTGTGTGTATATGATGAATGTCTGTGTGCGCACTCCAGCGCATAGACATTCCTCACATACACACACTCCAAGTCGACACGTGCATGCTCGAAGTCGACGCGTGTATGCGCAGGGGTGCGCAGACAGACATTCATCATACATACACAGTCCAAGTCGACGCGTGCATACGCAGGGGTGCGCGCATGCGCGCACACAGACATTCCTCACAGACACACACTCCAAGTCGACACGTGCATGCGCAGGGGTCCGCACACAGACATTCATTATACACACACCCTCCAAGTCGACACGTGTATTTGCAGGGGTGCGCACACAGACATTCCTCACGGACACACACTCCAAGTCGACACACCTTCCAAGTCGACACGTGCATGCGCAGGGGTGCGCACACAGACATTCATCATATACACACACTCCAAGTCGACAACGGACATTTATCATATACACACACTCCAAGTCGACACGTGTATGCGCAGGGGTGCGCACACAGACATTCATCATATACACAGTCCAAGTCGACGCGTGCATGCATATACACACACTCCAAGTCGACACGTGCACGCGCAGGGGTGCGCAGACACACGTTCATTATATACACACACTCCAAGTCGACACGCATGCGCAGGGGTGCACACACAGGCATTCATCATACACACGCACTCCATGTCGATCACACTCCAAGTCGACACGTGCATGCGCAGGGGTGCGCACAGAGACATTCATCATACACACACACTCCAAGTCGACACGTGTATGCTCCAAGTCGACACGTGCATGCGCAGGGGTGTGCGCATGTGCAGGGGTGCGGGCATGCGCAGGAATGCGCGCATGCGCAGGGGATGCGCAGGGGTGCGCGCATGCGCAGGGGTGCGCACACAGACATTCATCATATATAAACACTTCAAGTCGACGCGTGCATGCGTAGGGGTGCGCGCATGTGCAGGGGTGCGCACACAGACATTCCTCACATACACACTCCAAGTCGACACGTGCATGAGCCGTCGCAACTGTCCGAGACCCAGCAGGCCCCCCACACACCCGCAGACGACCACACCACGGCCCCCTTCCCCGACCCTTTTCCTGCTGATCGCCGCTGCTGTCTGTCGTGTGTTGCTGACTGACCGTGTCGCTGCTGATCGTGTGTGTTGCTGTTTGGTGTTGATAATTGGTCGGTTCACAGTGGGACTCGTGTGTATATCGTGAACCGATCGATCCCACCTTCCAGTTCGAATCCATCTTCCTGTTCGAGCCCATCTTTCCCCTTCGAATCCATCCTCATGTCACGTCCACAGCCACATTCATCCATGCTGCGAGCGACAGCATCACAGCATCTTGGGGCCCACGCCGTCACGTGTGCCACCTGACCTGAATGCTGCTGCTCCGCCCCGCCCCCCATCATTACATGAAGCAGCTGCTGCTGATCATGGCCATGCACCACATGAACCATCTGCTGCTGCTGCTGCTACTCCATTCCATCCACTCGGGCACCGCCGCCACAGGCGCCGCCGCCACAAGCACCACATACACCTGCACACATTGCATCACACGCCACTTCACCGGGGCGTTCGAGGAGGAATGTTGTCACACCTGTGGATGGAAGTGGGCAGCTGTCCAGCCGTCTCGCAGCGGCGAATGCACACGCGTCGATGACGGCATGGCAGGTGTCTGAGAGCTTACAGCGAGACCATGACGGCCCCAGCGCATCCAGCAGGCCTGCTGCTGATCAGCCGGACCACGCCGTCTCCCTGCGTGAGGTCGTGGCCGAGCCCCACCGGCTGAACACCATGCAGCTGCGCACTGGAAGCCGTATTCCTACATCCCCAGGCACGAATGCCCGTGCCGTTGTCGGTGACCATCCATTCGCTGGCGAGGCTCGAGAAGGCTCTGGGGTTTCCACAGAGAGAGATGCTGCTGGGCTGTTGGATGGATTGGCGGAGGACGCTTCTGCGGATGTCCCTCCACCCATCGGTGCCCTTCCCCCGGCACAAGTCGAAGAGCGTGAAGAGCATCTCAGTGTTGACGTCGTTCCCCTGGATGCCGTGGTTGCCGATGATGCAGTCGGACTGCCCGTGGCCGGCTCGGTGGAAGACCCCAGCTCGGCTGAGTTTGAAGCCGATGCGCCGTCCGAGCCAGCTGACCTCCCTTCATCCGTGGCTGCCTCAGCGATGGATGCCGACAGCCCACCCGTCGATCGACCTGACCCACACACACCTGGACATCAAGGCGATGGATTGGATCATCCATGCACTTCCTGTGGACCCGCCCCCTTCACAGTATGACTCACCTTCGGCTATCCACCTTCCTATTCATCCAATCGTCGTCAGCCATCTGCCACTCCATCGCCCCTGGACTTGAATGATGACGTGTACATGGAGATTGAGAAGCCACCCATCCGTGAGATCATCCGCCACACCCGCACCGCCTCTCATGCTCGGTATTACGTACGTCGTGAGGGTCGTTTGCCCGCTTGGGAGAATGAGAGCGAGCTGTCTGACCAAGATGCCCTCCGAGCGTATGAGACCGGGATGGCCTTCAATGACAAGCGTCAGAAGAGGGCAAAGCGGGCCATCACGGCTGCTCCACGACCCATGCAGCTCTGCTCTCGTAAGGGACGCCGACCCACCTGAACAGTCACCATACGGCTATTTGTCATCAGCCAATGAGCCATCTGTGGCAGTGTGTGTCATGTGGATCACCGTGATGTGTTGTGTCTGGCCGTTGGTGACGACCCGTTCGATCTCTGTCGCGCTCGATCTCCGTCGTCCTCGATCTCTTTCGTCCTCAATGTGCCAGTTCGATGCCTATGGGATACAGGGTGGACACGTCGACATGTTTGGATGTTCGGATCCTTGGATGTTGCCATCTGATACTCACCGCTCTGATGTCTTGACGCGTATCTCTTCGTTCACGAGGGCAACCAGCACTTCTCGCGACACCTGGAGTGCACAGACCACATCTCGTTTTAAGGGCCATCACATGGGTGTGTGCCATCCCTCTCGGCGCGTGCTCGTGGCCCACCCCTGCAGTTTTGACTTTCCCTCGTCTACTTGATCCACCTGATGCCCTATCTGGAGTTGCCTTCCTCGCTCGGGCGCCCAGCTGACCATTGCTGAACCGGTCTGGTGTGCCGTCACACGCCCCGCTGGCTGCGCTTACGCTGTCACTTGCCTACCTTGCCCTTGTCGGCCGACTGGAGGCCATTGCTGTCGTCCTCGATGTCCCCTGCCGTCTGAAGTCGTCATCATAATGCAGCTGGATATCACCTGAAGAGAATGCCAGTCAAGGACCGTGCTCAAGTCGGTGCAGAGGCTTTCCTTCCTCCTTCCTCGCTGTGCGTACCTCTGATCCTGATGGTGAAGCCCCCTGTCCGTGCTGAGCGGCTCACTCTGGACTCACAAGTGCCATGAGTCAACTGAAGGCTCTTGGACGTGTTGAACTCTCGTCTTCTCCCGGAAGGACTGCTCTTTCTGCCCATCCCTGGTGTCCACTGACTGACCAACGACACACAACACAACAATCGGCTGCAGACGACTCGGACGCCTACTCTAATCTTGCTGCCTTGTCTGTCACGGCTTACCTGCCTTGCCGATGTTGGTTTTGATGAGGACCTTCCCCCTCACCTCCCCCTGGCCTGACGATTGGAAGTCCCGAGGGACCTGCTGCTTCACTACCTGGTGCTGCTGTCGATAAAGCCTTGCTACTGGCGTCGATTTTGCCTTCCTTTCCTCGCTCTCTCGCTTCGCTGCCTGTCTGCGAGCTTTTGTGGGCTGCCTTCCGCTGTTTCGCGCTCGAATCCATTGTTGAAGCCGTGTGCCTCGCGCTTGACCGGCGGGGTTGTGTTGCGAAGTGCTCACGATGCCCTTCGCCCCTGTCTGTGGCCCTGATGAAGGCGCTCGGCTCGGATAAGTGGAAGTGTGGACGTGTGTGTCTGGATGTGATGGACGGATGGATTGGATGCTGTGGACCGTGTGCTGATGGAGAGGATGCAGCCCTGGATGAATGGATAGACGGATGGATCTGATGCTGATGCTGATGGATGACAGGCTGAAGGATAGTCGTGTGTAGGCAGGCATGACGACAAGCATATACATACCCCCCATGATTGAGTTGGTGATTTCTCGGCTGTTTCTCCTCCTTTTCGGATGAGCGAGCGTGTATCGGACTACATTCAACCCCCTCCACCTACCCTCATCCCGCGAGACGGCGGCGGGCCCCCCTGTTGCGCATGCAACGAGAAAGGGACGTCTGCGCTGTCC